CCAAGCCGATGCACTTAGTTCACAAAAATCTGTAGGAGAACAAGTGAGAAGGCTACAGAGTGTTTCAAAGTAAAGCGTAAAGCTGATGAAGCTTAAAAAGAAAACTTATTTTGACTTTTGAGTAGATTTGAGTTGCAAGGAAACATCTCATAGTAAGCAATTAATGTTGGTTTTTATGTGAAGGCTGGATCAGAGAAATGGAATTTTTTGCTCATGTAAAATGGGGGCACAAAATTATACCAAGTTTTAGCCCATGAGGAATGTATAACCTACTAAAACTTGACAAAACACTTTGGTTACGATTATTGGCCAAAGCCCATCTTTGTTCATACAAAGATATTTCTGTCTTTTAAAATAAGTTCAATCCAGTGAAATCCAAATATTTGGATAAAGAAATAGTATATTTCTGATCATTTCTAGTTTGTCTCGCTATCACAATCCAATTTGTGGAACTAACAATTCTTTAATACCATTTCCTGATGAGATTGCAAAAATTATGCATTGCCTTTAACAGTTGAGTCCGATCACTTGGTAGACATGAAGAGGATGCAAGCAGACAATAAAGGGCATAATTTAAGATTTAGTATTTGTCTTTTAATATGATTTGTTTCATATGCAGGTAGAACCTGTGACTTCTTTGCTAAGAACCCACTTTTAAATCTCATAACTATTCCCTGCATCTCTACTGGTAACCCTGTGTCTCCGTGTAGTTGAAGTCAGGACATTGAGTTTATGGCCCTTAGAAAAGTCGGCTTCTAAGAGCTGATACTTCCTAACTTTAACCAAACCATAGCCAGCATTCAGTTACAGTAATGAAGTTTTTTTGATATGCAGGAATAATAGACATAAGTACTCCAGTAAAGAGTTTCAGATTGTTTTGTTTAGTTTTAAATTGCTAAATATTTCTATCAGCTCTTTATTATAAACAAAGCAGGTGCAAGGTGGGGAGAAAAACCTTTGCAGCAGTGCTTGAATGTAGAACTATCTATGGCCTAAAGAAGGGTTATTTGTTCCTTAAGGCGTGTAAACAATTTAGTACCTGGAACCTGTTAAAGATGACCCTTATTTATGGGGTAAAAAGCATACCTAACAACCCAAATGTGTTGTGAAGTGATTCAGTAAAAATGCATGTTACGTGGTTGATGAAGTTCTGCAAGGACTTGTGTTGTTTTATTTTGTGTAACTACATTAAATATATGAGTTAGGGTTTTCCCTCATCTGTGTTTGAAAGATCACATGTATTTTGGTTTTAGACAGGATTTAGAATAGTTTTGGGGTTTTTTTAAAAAGGACTCTCAAGATGTATGGAATTCTGTTCCCTACTTTACAGTTGTGTGGGTGCTCTTACTTTCCTTCATTTCTCTTGGTCAAATTTGGTTTTAAGACTTGCATCTCAGAAAGCATGGCTGAGTCTGATTTGTGCTTTGTCACTAATTTCTACTTCCAGTATACTTTGCTGACACTCAATTGCTATCACTTGCATCAAGCTGCTGTCTGAAAATGAACAGTGCATCTTTATTCTTTTTACACAAGCACCATGGCTTGTGACCGTGGCCGAGGGATTATTTTGTTGAAGCAGTGATGCAGAACAGAATAGGTCACTTCCCAAGTCTCCACCCATTCTGCCTGTGGAGAAGGACTTTTTCCTTCACAGGTTTCTCCGTAAAGCCAGGTGATGGACAGCATTTATGCAGAGGGTTGAAGGGCTTTGACTGCTTACTGATTAGAGGAAAATCCTGCAAGAACAACTTCTATAAAGAAGGCAGATGAGGAATGCTCGTCTTATCATCTGGAAGAGAGACAAGAACGCAATGAACTAAGCAATGACAAAGTCACCTCTGAATTTTGTTTGCAAGTGTCAAAGAGAAAGGCATTGAGTTAGTAACATGACAGGATGCATCAAAATATCAAAACACTGGACAGTATGCTATACCAAAAGAGACTTGAGGACTTTCATCTTCACATTTCTGGGGCATATCCCACTCTTGCTTTAGCTTCTGGTGAGGACTACCCTTTGAACACAGCAGTGGATGATCTCAGGGCTGGTCTAGCGTGACATTGCATAGTTTGTATATCTTAAAACTGACGGATTTTTATTTGGTTTAGAAATTATGAAAAAATAATGTAGGAGAGGGAGAAAAATCCAGATCAATAATAATAACGTATGTAATTGAGGTTTCTACCGTACTGTGATATGATTCTGTAGTTGTGTTCTTAGTCCTTCTATTTCTTGCACTTCTGATCAAGCAGAACACACTAAAGATGAATTTAAGGTACACTCTGTCCCTTTGAGGGGTTTGTGGGCTAAAACCAGACCATCCTTTCTACAGGATACATGGAAAGTTAGGTCAGTGTTGAATAATGTATTGTGAGAGTGCGATATCTCAAGGTAACTGTCTGTCTGCTCCCCTGCAGTGTCCTGATTTGCACATAAAAATTCCCATCTTAGAGCAACTTTTGCTCCTGCCCTTCCTGTTGGAATATGGTCAAAAATACTGGAAGAAAACCATATCCCTTAATTTCATTTAAATGTATATTAAATAGAGAAATATAAATTATTTATATTTTCTACTGGAATAAATATATAAATATGCATACATAAATACATATATATATAAAAAAACCTTTTTCTATTTATCTGCTCTTTTGACTGTGTTGCTTGTTTGGTTACTGTTTGACCATAACCAGGATTGTTAAGAAATGACATTAGTTATAAGTTATTACATTTATTCTAGGATATAACTTGACATTATTAACATTGATTACACCTGTGTCTCTACAAAGCATTTAATAGAAAAAATACATATTCCCTTCCTACCATTCAAACATATGTGGAGAATCAACCCTTCTCTCTTCCGCATGAAAAACTCCTTTGAGAAAAGATCAGCAGTCTTTGTGGTCATGCTGAAATATGCTGTTAAATACCAAGACCTGCTAGTACATTTTTAAGGTGCTGATATAGCTTCCTAATCAGGAAGTTACCGCTGTTTTATACATTGAAATATTACACTTCAAGGAAATAGTGACTAGTAACTCTCTGCATTTGCTGTAAAAGTCATATTTTGTTTAAACAAAGATTAGATACAAAAATTAGCTTCTTCAGTTTCACTTATTTTTCCGTAGCTTTTAAGCATTTTCTTTTTCTGCATAAACCAATTTAAAAGTACTCTGAAAACTCTTATAGATATTAATATACTCAAAATAGAAAATTACTGAAGAAAGAATGAGTACACTGAAAAATAACCTCTGGGTTATTGCTTTTTGTAAAATAAGATGTATTTACAAATTATAAAATACTTGCCTAGTGTCCATAGTTTATTTTTTTTTTAAACGGTATATAAAGGCTGAAAATAGGAAAAATTGTCACAATTTTAGTTTCAAAGCAAAATGAAGAAACAATTCAGTGCACTTACAAGTACATCCATGTGTGCCAGCCTGCAGCCAGTCAGGAAAAGCAAATTGCAAACATGACATCTCTGTGCAAACAATAATTATTATTGACCCAAGACTACTTAAATTGCCCCCATCTAAGCTCTTCAGAGTTAAGGAACAGGGAGTACAAAAAGTGATCTCATATGTTCAGTCTACCTACTGCACTAGTCATAGCAGGAGGAAAACAGCTGGAGCTAGGTCATCAGATAGTTCAAGTTGTTATAGTGCCAGTAAAGCGGTTGACAACTTGCTGCAGTCAATTAGTCAGCCCATAAATATTTTCTCACAGTGACTTAGGTGTTTGTTTAGACAAAGCAAAAAGACCCTGAATTTCCTGAATCGATGCAGCATTTCATGTTTCTGTTAAAATTAATTTTAATGTACTAAAATTAATTTCAGTATAGGAGTCCTTAGTTTTTATTTGGCTGCATGTAAAACTTCTTTGTGTGCTTTTGACTCCCACTGGTGTCCATTACACCTGCAACAAAGTTGGCAGGGGTTTGATTTGATGAGGCATATCTTTCCTAATTACATTCTTAAGAATGATCATGCAGATGAAGGGTGAATATACAATAAAATACTAGATGACTATGAAGTATGAGAAAGAAATCCTATGACTGTTCATGTTGAGAGTGACAAATAAATTGAAATATTATTACCTTTAAATTCTGAATATGCTGACAGTACTTTGCCTCTGGAAGAAAGTTCTAGGGAGTTTCCTAGAGGCAGTTCAGTAGGATCAGCTGGTAAAATGCAGCTTATTCTCTAACTAGCAATGAAGACTTGCTTCCAGGAAGTTCCCTGGAGCTGGAGGCTTGCATTTAGCTTGATGGGTAGCTGCATCTTTCTGTCTGTTCAGCTTTAGACCTTGAAAACTCCCTGACATCTCAGTACTGCATTTCTAGACTCTGCCCAGAAATTGCTTGTTATTAATCTGGTTGCACTTCCATGGTCACTCTCAACCAAAAAAAAAAAAGTTACAGTGTCATAACTACCCAGCTAAAGTACATAAACAATAGTTTCTATTTCCTTTTTTTGTTTTATCTTGTTCTTTACAAATATTATCTCAAATTAAAGGTGATGAAAATGAAATGAAAGAAAATCAGAGCTCATCCTTTGTTTGAAAGGGTTATGAAAACATGATGGGTATGTAGCTCCCTTTCATGGGATTTTTTAACATTACTTTGGGTCAATTTCAGGTGCTGTAAATCAGTGCAGCTCCTAACCTTTCAGTGAAACCCTGCCAAGTTACACCAGTTCAGAATCAGGCTTATTTTAACAATCCTTATATATATAATAAAAAATCCTGTTATTTATGTTTTTTATCAGTGTAAACATTCAATTGTTTATAACAGAATGAGAACAAATATGCATTATTTTCTTTAACAATTGAACAAAATATTTTAACAAGAAATTTTATAGTAGAATCAATGTAATAAATATTCAGAAAGTATTGTTAGAATCCTGTGCAGTTTCTATTTTTTTGATTTGTCCAGAGCTTGTTTCCAGGTGATGTCCAATGTAAATATTCCCTGTTCTAAAATTGAGAGCACCTCTGGATAGACAAATCCTTTGAAGTCCCTTCAACCCTACACAGCCTTCAGTGATCCTTTCAAAACCTTGAGCTGTTCTTCAGTTGGACTGATGATCATTTCGAAGATGAATTGCGGTGGGTTCAAAAAACTAGAAGAAAGTTTAGAGAGAAGTTTAAGATATGGGTTGTTAGCAATGATGTTAACCAACAAAACCACCTGATTTCTAACCCTCTCAGCAGACTTAAGACAGAACTGCATTACAGTGAAGAATCCTCTTAGAATTTGATGTTCATTACCTGGATCATCAAAGCTCAATCATAAGTACGTATGGCAATGACTGCTTTCTTCTGAACTTTATTTTTCCAGTGTTTGAACTGAAACACAACGTAAAAGTATGCACTGCAAGCTTTATAAATAGTAATGTACTGAAGCTAAATACTTTTCCAATTGTTGTTTCTTTCTCTATTCTTGCTTCTTCCCCCTTGACCCATCATAAGCATCTCATCTTCTTCCACTTGTTATGTAGCTCCTTTTCTGCCATCATACTATGTTCTCTGCATCCAAATAATATCCACGACCAAGCACATTTAACACATTCAGTGACTTTGTGCCTTCCTCTGCTCCCAAACATAAAGGCTGTCCTCTGCTTGTTTTTCTGCTGTTTATCATCAAAACTTCAACATCATATCCTTCTTTAGTTTGAGTCACTCCATCATTGCATGTTTCGTTACATGAAAAACTGTAATATAATGTTATATATAAAAATTAAGACAGGTTACTTTAGAAAGAATATGTGTAAAAAGAAGCAAGAACAGCATATGCAAAGTGAATGATACAGCAAGTGTAGACTAAATACTTGTATTCTTCTCATTAGAAGGGCACTCTTTGCATTCTAAATCAAGAAAATCTTAAAATAAACTAAGCACGCAATTCACCTACCAAGGTCACTGTCATAAATTAGCATTCAGCTCAAGGACTTAGCAAGATTTAAAACTAAAAGCAAAAAAAAACTGTGTGACTATTTTTTTATTTGTCAGGTGTTTTCTTCTTTCAAGAACTTCTCTGGCTAATCTAGACAAATGTGTATTGTTTGTTACTGTATAGAGCTTTTTGTAGATGGCAGATATTACGTGCTCTGCAGAAACATGCCTGTTCTATTTCGCACGTATAAACCACGGGGATGTCACATCTTCAAACCTTCCATCTAAACTAATTACAAACTGACCTGATGTAATGACGGAGTAAGTCCTCTTAGAGTAATTTAAATGCTTTATTTTTTTTCATATTGTAAATGGCACAGTGACATTGCTATGTTAAGCGTCTGTTGGCATTAGTTACAAAACCTTTTGAGAGAAGGGTGGGCTTATCATACAAATATCAGCAATTTCTGTGGTCTAAAAACTGGCATCTGTTATTTTAACATGTTTTCAACTGACTCCTTTTTTTCTATTTTTATATTGTCCTTTGGTTATATTAGGTTCTAACAACATGCTGTCTAGCAAAGTGCAGGCAGAGAACTATATTAGCTTTATTGCTATGCTTCTACCAATAGAACTAGTGTCCTGCAATGCTATTGCTAGTCCCCAGTGCAGAACAGTTTACACTGAACTATCTTGTCCGTCAAGTTGTGTGGTGGATGACTGCTACTAAATAAGTAGCATTGTTCTAATGGAGAATAGAAACATTTATTCAAATATTAAGGCCAGAAGATAACTTTATCCCCATCCATATATAAAAAGCATTCAGCTGAAGCACTTAATTTCCACTTGGAAATTTTTTTCCTTTTTCCTTTTTTCCACTTTTTCATTCAGAGAATGCTGCTCTTTTGCTTAAAAATTAAAAAGATTAATTTTACAAAGAAAGTTTGCTACTAAATCCTGGTTTGCTGAGCTGGACTTGATTCAGTAGACACGGAAGTACAGATACAGAGTTCTAAGGTACTCTTGCTATCTGCCCAATCCTGGCTGCTCAGAAAAATAATATCCAAATGTTTAAAGGCACACATTTTATTAGAAACACCTTCTTCATTATACAGACTTCCAAATCCTGAAATTACTGTGTTACTAACATACTCTTAGTTTACATGTACAGTAAGAGAAAGGGTGATTAATGTGAAGTCTTCCAAAATGAAAATTATTAAATGGAGGAGGAAGAAAAAGGTGCTCCAAGGAGCAATTTGAAAAGTACTCAAGCCCCAAGCTTCTTATAAATATTATCAGATACAATACACAAGAATGACTTCTTCATTTCTGTAACATATGGGCCATTACTTAGGCCATAAGAAAACTGCTTGGTAGTGCACAGAAATACTAACAAACAGCTTAGGAGAGAGCTCCTCACTTCATACAACTGTGTCATTACATTAACAAGGTTGCTCATTCTAGCTGATGCTCTGAATCCAGAACATGAAGTGAAAAGTTATTCTTGCACTTCCTTTAATATCAAAGGAAGAGTCTGGCTGGAACACAATGACATGAGTTGAAAATTACCTTTTATTCCAGTGCTAACAGCCTGCTTTTACAAAGAGATTCACTAAATACTTATTGATTTATTCTGTATGCACCATCCATAGCCAGTAGGTAGCTGTTTGGTTTAGGAATCTCCACATTAATGGACTTAAGTGAATGATGCTCTTCACTCCAAACTGCAGTAATCAATAGCATAGAAAGGTGCTCTACAAGAACTTGTGCCCAGGAAATTTGGTTATTTCAATGAACCGATTAGATTTTTTTTTTCCATTTTGTTTTTTAAACAAAAGCCAAATGAACTCAAAGAAGGTAACTCCAAAAAGAAAAGCTAATATACCTGAAATACTACACAAAATGCAATTTCTAAATTAAATTAAATTGCTTATCTGCATAATACTGTACCAATATTTAATCTTTTGGTTTTGAGCCTGTGAGTTGAACTGGCCTTGAAGCATGCCAGGCTTTGCTCACCTAATTGTTTTTTATCTCCTCTGCTTCAGTTGAAAGGTTTACATATTTTTAATATATATTTAAAGCAAAACCAATTCTGGTTTTCCTTGAAAGTAACAACTGATAAAGTGATACAACATATTGAATTAGAAACCTAGCAATGTGTATCACAATCATTATTAGTTACAACTGAGTACACAAACACTAAAATGTAATTTATGAAGAAGAGCTTGATCAATGGTTTACATAATAGTTTACATTCTTTATCATTCAGAACACCTCAGCTGTCAATACTGTTCTGTTTTCTAAATCTTGCTGCTGGATTTCTGTCATTCTATAAGGCTACTACAGACCATTATTTCTGAGATTGTGAGCAGTTTTGTGAGCTTGCAAAAGTGGCATTTTAAAATTTAGATGGTCGGCACTATGTCCTAGACTTTAGAAGAATTTTAAAAGCCTAGTTCTAATATGACTATTAATATACAAAGTTCAGTGTAAATATTTCATCGCTACCAAGGGAAATGGCAACCATGCTACATATATTTCTAGATCCAAAATGTGAATGGTTGAATGAAATTGCGGGAGTTATGGCAAGCTATGCAAGCTGAGGAGCTGGCCTCTAAACAGAAGCTTTAATGATCATAAATGAGCTTTTTTGATATTTCCCTTCTCTGATTGAGATAAGTAATTTGCACACATAGTCAATATTTTAATAGCTGGATCAGTAATTCTGGCACAATGCTAAATTTAGCATTGGCCAGATTTGGAGTGGCCAGGAGTTAGCATCTGTGACCTCTTGAGAGAGACATCTGCAGAAACATTTGTAAGAGATAGTGCCTCCTATCTTCCTGCCCTCCTGATTTCATATAAGCTGCTTGGCAGCATGCTCCATCTTTGAGAGACAGCATTTTTCAGATCATTCTAGTAGCAAAAATCAGCAAAATTAGAGACTAGTAGCCTCTGCTTGAAGCAGAGTCAAGATGCCACCAATCAGCTGATCAGCACTGTCTTGTTACTCTGAACTGCAACACCTCTTGGTGGTCCATGAGACTTCCCTTGGCCTGCTTTAGCTCTAATCTAGGAAATAAAGGTACAATCTGCTCAACACTCATACCAGATTGCCAGCCTCTGTTTTTATTGATGTAGGAACTTTGTGCATTCAGTACTATCTAAATACCACCATTATCTCTCTAGCTGTCCTAAATAAAGCTAAATGTACCAATCATATTGACTTCAAGGTACAGTGAGATTCAAAAACTCTATGGCAACAAGGCAAATGACTATACTTTTTACCAAGGAAACAGGACACCATTATTTGCATGTAGGCAAAAGGGAAAAATTAGAGGAATAAAGCATTAAAAACTTAAAGTTTAATGACTTCTTGAAAATTACAAGCTAATCACTGACTGATTATTCTAGACATGATCAATTTGCAGGGCACATATCTCTTCTGGACCTCATGGATATCTAAAGACATGATCACTCTCTGCCTGATTCAAATAAACTTAAGCAAAGGATTTAGCGGGTTTATCTCATAGAACGGTTCAGCTATATGCAGAAACAGGAAAAATATGTTAAAATTGATAAAGACAGGAACTCTTTATTCATTAACTGTATGCTGCAATTCTGCACACTATGGATAAATGTTTAAAATTAGTGATAAATTTTTGGGCGGAGACTGTTATTTTATTAACTCACTGAGCAAACATTAGGAGACATTAAAAGTTCTTTTCTTTTTCACTACGTTGCTTCAACAGATCATTCTACCATTCCTTACTGCAGTTAGGAAGATTAAGAAATGGCAGATTTAAGACTAGTTTATTTGCTGAGAATGGCGTCATGTGTTGTCTTACACAATGTGTTCTGCTCAGAGCAACGTGGCACAGAGATAAGTGTTTACATTTCTCATTTTCAAATAGCCTTTCTGCACTGTACTGAGTGCCACTATTGCTGGAAGGCACAACTGATTTTTTTTAGAGAAAGCTATTATCAGTAACTTTCCTCAGAAAGGACTGATTAACTGGAGCTGCAAGAGTAAATGAACAATTAAAATAGTATTGGTCAAGTAAACATACCACATATCATAAGCAAGTAATCAGAAATTCTACTACTCACTTCCATAGTATCTTTTGAAAGATAAACAACCCAGTATACCAGGTTGAATCCTGCAAATGCCACTGGAAAGAGGATCCTGGAATACTGATCTATTTTACTTGTGCCTCCAATAGGAGGTGGTGGTGGTGGTGGCGGGACTGGGGGAGGAGCAGACACCGGTGGACACTGGGATGCACTGTTTGATATTATGCTGGCTTCAGGAGACTGATCTGCCTGAGACGTTACAGAGTTTACTCGCTTCTTCAGGTTACAGTTGGAGTCAGAATGCTGTGGAAGAAAAAAAGAAAAAGGAGAGGAAAAAAAGAGTGAGTTTTGGATACAGAGTCTTAGGTTTTGTGATCATTAGGTTTCTCTCCACCTTTCTACTCAACTTACTGATTTTATTGCTGCTTCTCTGCTATAGAGCAACTTAAGGAAATCACAAAAATAATGCAAATACACAGAGGTATATTTGTGGCCTAAAGCTTTGCTGTAAAAAACATAAAAGAATATGTGCTTTCCATATTTTTATTATGGTAATAGATGGAAGCTACCAGAGAGAAAGAAAAAGAAAAGATGGAGCTAAAAGGAGAAGAAAATAAGGTAATGGTGTATCTAAATTGCAATATATTGGTATGACTGAAGTTTATGTAGATATGAATCAAGTTTAAACAAAATAGCACATATGGGCTGGCTTAAGTGCAGTCTTCATTGTGTGATCCCATTGATGAGTCCTGGTAAACACTCACTGAATGGAGTCAAACTGTCACACTGTTATTCATCCCCAAACTAGCTGTTTATGAACTAGAAAACTGCTGCGCAAAAGGAAATGGACTGTCTTTACAGGTGCTGTAGAGATTAATGCTAAATGGTCCTGTAGTTTTTTCTAGGATGAAATTTCATTTTGAAATATCTCATGATTCCCACAGCAGTTTCATGCATACAACTGAAGACAAATCCTCATCCTAACTGTAATGAGACTATTTTTGTTTTAATTTATGGTGAAATGAAACCTATACTTTGTGCAATATTCATAGCCAGGTCAAATTACTCTTCAGAAAGCTGTATGAAAGCTCTTTAAAAAGTTAGCCAGACCTCAGGAATATTCAGAGTTTACCTCTTAGTTGCTAGGCTGACATATATATATATATCTTCCTTATGTTTGATTTGTGGCCAAGTTGCCATTTTTTTACTTTCATAAGAGTAGAAGTAATAGATTTCTTCCTTGCAGAAATGGCTTAGCAATAGGATCTACCACAGGCTCTAAGCCAGCTCTAACAGATACCAGTTACACACTTCCACATTAGTATCAAACAGAAGGAAATTTTCAGAACCTTGCTGCTACTGCCACTACCCAGGACTACCGTTAGTAATGTGGGTGCATGGCACAGCCATAAGATTCACCTGTTGGCTGAGAAAATACAGAAGACTGCCTAGAGTGTCAAGTTAGTTTTTATTGTTTTGATATGAAATACTTGAGTTTTCTGTTAATAGGGAGCAGCAGAAGTACCTTAGAGTCTAACATACAGTGTTTTAGTTGAGCTTGAGTCTAAGATTTCATCAGTAAAGGACTGCAAAACTCAATTCCAGATTGTTGATGAAAAATATTGTGCAGCAAAATTGCACAACATACACAGCTATTCTTGGGTTGGAATAAGCAGCTTTTGTGGTCAGCAGAACTAGATGACTGAATGACTGCAGCTGATGAGGGAAGTCTTAGGCAATGGGAATAACTTGCAATACAACAGTTTATATATCTGTTGTAAAACGGAATAGTTACATTTGAATGGGTTTACAGTAGCAAAATTCAGTTAGATGAGCAATTTCCAGAGTGATTTCTTGGAAGTTATTTAGTGACAATCATTCACTCAGATGTAGCCCACTGTCAGCATTTTGGGGATTTATCTTGCAGGATTTCTATGCATGGAAAGAGATTTTAGTCAATGGGGTCATCAACAGGAAAAGCAGCATTTTCTGAAATACATTGCTTATACTTGTACTCAGGCCACGATTTCTAGATAGAAGACTAGCCTAACAAACCTGGTATCTCATGTATGACTTAAAACAGAGTTATAACAGGAATTACCCTTCTAGCGGTCAGTGTTACTGCCAGATTATCAGAGCAAGTGACTTTACTACAGCATGATGCCAAGTTCTGCTTGTGGATGAATGGACTGGTATCCAAATGAAATTAGGGAGAGATGGATTCCTCACAGCTGATTTTAGCCTAAGTAAAAGGTGGAGACAACAATATCTTATTTCCAAAAATATGAAGAAGACAAAAAGTGCTTTTTCTGTATATATCTCTTTTGCCTATTAACGTTTTCTTTCCCCAAAACCCATCAACGCTTGCCATATTCCTTTTTCATCAATTTTGACATCTACACATTAAATTATTAGTATCATGTTTTGAATTGATATTAAAAGGACTCATATTCTGGGGCTGTCCCTATCTGGAACGCAGATGTTTGTTTTTGCATTTTCCAGTAATACAGCAAGCAACAGACAGATTTAAATGGAGGATGATCTACAGATGTGTCTCAAACAGAAAGAGGGTTATCCACGTCCAGTTGCGCTAATCATAATAATAATCCCACTCTATAAACAGACTGACTTAGAGAGCCTAGGCTACTGCTTTCATTCAAGTTGCTATTCTGTTTTGCTTCTACGCCCTGCTTTGAATTGAACTGCGCAAGTCATAAGGTAGCTTGTTTTTTGCTTTCCTGCAAGATAGCTTGACCTTTTGTGGAGAATGAGTGGTTCCTAAAAATGTAAGCGCTAAGGTACCCTTTTTATCTGCAGTATTCTGGTGCAAGGTGGGTCAAATTCTGTTGTGGATAATTCAAGCATGAATCAGGAGTTGTACTGACAGTAGGCAGAACAGATGTCGCATATGGTCTGTGGATGATGTTCAGTATTGAACACATTTAGAACGTAGAGGTAGTAAAATCATTGTGAATAGGCACTTGGAAAAGTATAATCCTGGTCAATATTTTATGTATAGTATTTATTAAATCACATTCCTGTAGAAGGAGGACTGCTATAGAAGGAGGAGGATCATCTCAATGTGATTTCATCTCAAGTTGGAGACAGGAAGATCTGGAGTCAGCATGGATCCTCAGAACTGGGGGAGCACACTAACTAACTTGATTATGCTCCCACGTTGCAGCCAGTTTAGGTCCACTTCTATCAGTGGAATGATATTAATAACTTGTTACCTAAAATAGCCTATTCCAATTTTCAGGAAGGACCAGTGCATTTTACAGTCTCAGTAAAGGTACAGATTTTTATCGTGCTCTTCCCCTGCAGAGGAGATGGGTTAGAGCTTATACAAACCATTAAGAAAGTTCCTGGGTAGTTCTTTACACTGTCTTTGACACCCTTGTGTGCCTATCCAGCAAGTCAGGGTTAAGACTATTTTCTTGTATATCGCTGCACAGGATATGGAATTCTAAGTCTGAATTTATCTCAGATGTGTAATGAAGATGTTTCTTCGGGTGGTAGCTGACTGTAGACCAGACTTGCTGCCCTAGAAGCACAACTCATATTTTTCATTGGAATTCACTGCTAAATCAAGAGGAGGAAGCAGCAAGAGGAAACGATATTGTTTCTTATTATACTTGATTCTGAACAGCAGCTACAGAAATTTGTCTACTATATTTAGACAAATATGGTCTAACTTTTCCTTTTGACAAAGATTACCTACAATGACGTAATGAAACTTTAGCAAAACACAGAGAGAAAACAGGACTGAATAGCATGTATTGCATAGTTCACATAGGCAATCACCCAGATAGTAAGGACTGTTTTACAACAAGCAAGAGCAGCAAGAGGAAGCCTGAGGCATGGCACACTGTCATAATGAAATAATGAATTTTGTTAAGTTACTGAATCCTGATTCTGAGCAGTACTCTTGCGCTCATGTGGAATATTAGTTCCATCAGGCAATTAAACTTGTCACTATGTATGACTATCTAGTGACACAGAACAGATTGCAAGATCACTGTTTAATGTGAGATACCATAAACTGGACTAGACAAAGACTGGTATGTATATGGGCTAGTAAGGTATAGTTTGGCTTCTGTTAAGCTTTTGCAGCTCAGCTATCTGATCCCCTAAAAGGCTCACAAAGCAGTCTCATCTTGTCTATAAAGGTGCTGCTCTCTCACAACTCTCACCAACATCATTAGAATTTGTATAAGATCAGAATATCCTTCTAGCAGTCAGTGTTACTGCTCTCTCCAGGTTGTTTGGCTTCCAGATTTAAAAAACATACAGCATACGTAACCTTTGAGTAAACAGAATTCTTTGGTTTTTTTTCTGATTTTTATATGGATGCTAACTGTGATTTATGAATGCGTTTTGTTCTTACGCTTCTTTTCCTTGAGATTTCTGTAATTCATGTTTGAAGAATTCCCTACTGTTCTCTCTTCTTTTTGTACTGCAAATACATATTCTCACTATCAGTTTAGTTTGACCTAGCAGTAACATGAGTATCTTACGTATGCACTCAGATACTGGCTAACTTTAAACAAACGAATATCTGGATGTCTTAACTTATCTCTGGTTTACTCACGCATGTCTCTTTTTCCTGTGGGCAATGCAGTAAAAAGAAGTTTGTGAGAATAAACTCTGAAAGTTTAGACAAAAATGTATTATTCATCCTTTTTTTTACAATATATTGGATTAAGGATATTTAACTTTGCTGACACCGTAAAACACAAAAAAGGCCAAGAAATAAAAAAAAGCTAGGACCAAATATGATGTCTGTACAAGGCAGGATACTAAATTAAATATATAAATTTCTTTTTCCCTCCCCATCTCATTAGTAGATACAGTTTGAGTAATTTCAACCATTCATATTATACACATAAAAACATATCACAGAATCACAGAATGTTAGAGATTGGAAGGGACCTTGAAAGATCATCTAGTCCAATCCCCCTGCCGGAGCAGGAACATGCTAGTGACTTAGCTCCCAAAGAGGGAGTTAAGCATAGTTTAGCCCCTTCATTAAACAGTGTGATCTGTAAAAACTCTGCTTAGCTATGGAACAATGTGTATGCAGCACCTTTTTGGAAAGTTCTCCACATTATGCAAGATCTCCTTTTGGGCACACGCTGAGGTACCTCAATCTTTACAGTTCTCTGCAGTTTAAGTATCCATCTCATACCAGAGATTCATTATGACCTATAATTTAGACATTTCTTTACATTTCTCATTTGTGGGTTCTGAGTCAAAAAATGTGTATTGCAAACATTTGCAAACAGTATTCTCCATAATTAAAA